GTTGCTGTTTTTGTGGCGCCAGCCTTGGCTACTGCCCCCTTAGTATTCGCCTTTGCTCCAGGACCAAGCTTCGCTCCTGTCCTCGCTTTGGCTGTTGTCGAGCTCGTGCCAAACGCTGCTCTTCTCTGGGAGCAACCCGCTCCCTCCGGTCTTTTTGAAGGAGGTCCAGACTCCTTTTTGTTTTTATTTATAATGTTATTGTTTTGGCTCATATTTTGGACCCACGAGTGTAGGGGAAAGTATGTCCGCTTGCGCATAGCCCCCGCTACGCAAGTAAGGCTATCTTATTACGGAAGGCGCCAGGTATCCGTAAGCTCCGTGCGAGACTGGGCTATTTAAGGGCCCCCAGCCAGGTTGATCTTCGGCACGGGTCGCATGACACCTTGATCCAGCCCTTTACCTNACTCTAAGCTTTTTAAAGATAACGCCGGCATTTTTGGAGAGCATTTTCTTACAAATTTCTACTGGAGAGTGGAGTTTCAACAGAGAGGTTCCCCGCATGTACATGGCATGTATTGGCTTAATAATGCTCCCAGGATCAACCTTCAAGATCCTCAGACATTCCCTGATGTCATTAGTTTTATTGACAACTATATTTCTACCGATGGTTCGATCAGCCACTTAGAAAATTATTTGGGTTATCAAAAGCATAACCACAGTCGGTCTTGTACTAGGGAAATAAGAGGACAACAGTTTTGTCGTTTTGGTATACCATATCCACCAATGCCTTCAACGCAAATACTGTTACCTCTTACAGAAACAAGTCAAAATTCAGAAAGACACAAGGAAAACTTTTTCAAAATTCAAAACGTTTTAAATTCAAATATGACTACAGAAGACATTTCTAATTTAAACGATTTTGAACACTTCCTGTCTGACAGTAGAATAAATATGTATTTTGATGACTATTTGTTAGCCCTTAGGTCAAGTTTAACAAAACCCAAAATTTTTCTAAAAAGAAAATTACAGGATCGTTTTATAAACGCTTATAATCCTCTGATTTTGGAACTCCATAGAGCAAATATGGATATCGAATATATACTGGATGCATATGCTTGCTGTTCATATATAATTAATTATATTAACAAGTCTAACAGGGGAATTTCTATGCTCTTAAATGAAGCTATATCAGAGGTAAATGCTGGAAATTATACTATTAAGCAAAAACTTAAACATATAGGTCACAAATTTATATCAGGCACAGAAATATGTTCACAAGAAGCAGTATATTGCTGCATTGGGCTCCATCTTTCGGAAGCAAGTAATGCAGAAATATTTATAAATACCTCTCGACATGAGGAGCGTGTTCGAATGGTAAAACTTAGAGCGGAACTTCAGAACCTTCCTTCAGGTTCGACTGATATATTCGTAGCCGGTATTTTAGACCGTTATGTTCAAAGATCCGATCAGTTAGAAACTCTTTGTTTAGCTGATTTTGCATCTATGTACAAATATTTTAAATCTAGTAGAAGAGCACAAGATAGTAATCATGAAGAAGAAGAGAGGGAAAACGATAATTTACCAGAAAGCGGGGTAGTCATGCCTCTTAAAGACGGTAGCGGTTTTGTGAAAAAACGTACCAAACCTTGTATTATTCGGTATAGAAGGTTTAACCCAGATTTGGCCAGAGTTGAGTATTTCCGCGAAATGTTAATGCTTTACTATCCTTGGCGGAATGAACAGCAAGATCTCATTGAAAACGATAATGAGCAGACTTGCATAACACATCGTGTTATAATTGAGGAATATCAAAGAAAATATGATGTTTTTGAGCAAAGAGAACTTGAAAATGTTCTAGAAAGTCTTTATAATGAAATAGACTTGGACGAAGGTGCTCAAAATGAACTACCTATCGTGGAAGATGAGTTCAGAGTGTTGGCACTTCCAGAAATAAAGCCAAATATAAATTTGCTGGACTTGCATGGCGAAGATTCAACAGATAATGGCACTGAATCTGATTGTAATATTAGACTTATTAAACTACCCCTTTTAATTCCATTTGGGGGTCTTTAGTTCAAAGTCTAAATACTAAGCAAAGAACCCATTTGATGTACCACCTTAAAACAAATCTCCCATTTTATGAGTTCATTGGTGGCGGTGCAGGTGTAAGAAAGAGTCGTTTGATATCTGCAATATATCAAGCTCTTAACCATCGTTACAATTGTACACCTGGATCTAATCCAAGTTCCTTAAAAGTTCTTCTTTGCGCACCTACGGGTAAAGCAGCATTCGGAATAGGTGGAATGACCCTTCATTCAATATTCTCTTTACCTGTTAATCAGTTGAATAGAGAGTTGAGGCCACTTAGCAATGACACAGTTAATCAGTTGAATAGAGAGTTGAAGCCACTTAGCAATGACACAGTTAATTCATTGTATTCCAGACTTATCGATTTAAAATTAATCATAATTGATGAAATATCGATGGTAGGTGCTCGTATGTTTAGCTCTGTTGATGCGAAATTAAAACAAATTTTCAAAACAGATAGCCCCTTCGGTGGTATACCGATCATAGTGTTTGGTGATTTGAAGCAACTCTCACCTGTTGGAGATAGGTGGATATTCTCTCCTAATCCCAATGATGCATACAGCACTTTAGTTGGTTCCCCTTTGTGGGAGTTATTTAAATACTTTGAATTAACAGAGATAATGAGACAACGGGAGGATCAGGCCTTTGCAATTGCATTAAATCATATGGCATCTGGTACTATGACAAATGAGGACATATCACTCATTGAAACTCGAGTAGTTAATTTCGAAGAAGTTCCCGATGATGCCATACATTTATTTTGGTCCAATGAAAAGACAAATAATTTCAATGCCCTTAAGCTCAGTCGAACCCTAACAGAAGCTTTCGTTTCAACTGCAAAAGACTCAGTTAAAGGAATTGGTATAAATGAAAATGATAATATTTTGGAAAGAGTTAAACTTTTCAAAACTTCTGAAACGCAGGGACTGCCCTATGAATTGACACTAAAAACATCCGCCAAATATATGATTACAGTGAACATAAACACGTGTGATTGCTTGGTTAATGCGGCAGCTGGACAACTTATGCAAATTGATTTCCATTGTTCTTTTCCAACAATTCTGTGGATTAAATTTTTGGAACCTTCTGTTGGTTTGATAGCACGATCAAAAAAGCCTCATCCTCTAGAAAGTTCTTGGACACCAATTGAAAGAGTTCTAAAATCTTTTCAATATAAAAGAAATGAACAAATTTTAATTGAAAGAAATCAGTTTCCAGTTGTTCCGGCTGAGGGAATAACTATTCATAGAAGTCAGGGTGTCACATATAATAAAGTTGTAGTTTATACTCGACCCAGATTGCCTAGAGCTTCAATATATGTCGCTTGTAGTCGAGCTACTTCTGCAGAAGGTCTATTCATCATAGGAAATTTTATTCCTCCTAACAAATTTTCTGAATCGGATCCCGTATTTAGGGAACTGAGGGAATTGAACACAAATAAAGCTTTGACAACAAGTTTCAATTTTATGATTTCCCGAACATCAGGACATCAAATTTTATTCCATAATGTTCAGAGTCTTCACGCTCACATTAATGATATAAAAAGCGACTGTTTGATGCTATCTTCAGATATTTTATGTTTTGTAGAAACTTGGAGTTATCCTTGCGAAAGTTTTGATATACCAGGATTTACTTCAATTAACGAGCTGAGGGTAGATAGCACGGAAACAACCAACAGAAATAAACGGGGCATTATAATATATGCAAAGCATAGTATTGCTTGCTCTATAGAATCAAAGGCTGTAAAGAAAATTTATTCAGGCCGCAAAGTTTTAGAAGCGGTTTCGTTTAAATGTTTCAATATTAATATTCTGGTTCTATATAGAAATTCAGCTTTCTCTGTCAGACAATTAATTGTAGAACTTCAGGAAGTCCTTACTTCTGAGTTAGGCAATCAAAATGTGCTAATTGTTGGAGATTTTAACATTTGTTTAATGTCTACAGGGACTGCAATAAGAAATCTGCTCCAAGAAAAAAACTTTAGTTCCCTGCTTGGTGCAGAATATTCAACTACACCTGCCGGTACACAAATTGATTGGGCATTTTCAAACATGGATCCTTCCCGTGTAAATGCAATTACTTTTGAGACAGTACACAGCTATCATTACAGTATTTGTGTCTCTATTTCGAACTAAAGTTTTCAGCCTTAGTGCAATAGTTCTTCATTTTTTTTCCAAATATAATCGAATTGGAATGGTATAGGAATTTTGACAGTAGTTTTTAAGACAATTTTAAGAAAAATATGTAAATAATCTAATTAAGAAAATTTAAATTATATATAAAATTTGTTATTATATATGACATTATTGTATAAATATATGATAGAAATTAAATAGTATAAGGAAAAAAGAAATATAATTTGGATATTTGTATAAGAATCTCTACAAAAACTTATGTTTAATATTATAAATATTATATACAAATTAATATAATAATATTATATCATTTTTAAAGTTGTTAATATTTATTATCTTTAAGCTAAACATGTGTAATAATATCGATATAATAAATAAAAAATGTTATTCATTGTCCAAAAACGATTTCTTTTCATACTTATCAATACAGTTGTAATGCATTCTATATAAAATCAATTATAAGCGTATACAAAAAGCACAAAAACGATTTCTCCTAATTTGAGGAAATTTAGTTTACAAATTGCTCTAATTATTTTCACTGTGAGTGAAAAGTAAATAACTAAGGCAACAGTTCCTACTTCTAATTATTAAAATATATAAAGAAGTCTCAAATGAATATACCATTTAACTTTGCGAGAGTATAAAATGTTCGGTTACATCCGAACTTAGCCCTTCCTTACTTGTTTTTTTTTTTTCTTTTTTAATCCATAGTTCCGCTCACTATGGCTCGAAGGACCATGATTGCACTTGTATCCAATATATTTGGGAGATCACAATATTTTATTTGAATCACAATACGATTTTATCGAATTTTGATTTTATTGTTGATGGATACAATATATGTATATGGTTGACTATTGACGGTATCGGTAGCGAATGGAAACCGGCAGACGCCTACAGAACGGATCAAAGGAAGTCGCGAACCGGATCGGTGTCGCACGAAAAAGGTTGACGTCGTGATGTCGAAGAAGGTTAATCGCAGGGCGCAGGACCGCTGCTGTCCAATGTCTCATCAATTATCGAAAGTTGTTTACGTAGCGTGCTGGATCGTTTTCTAATCGAATGTTGATTTGGCGATGATCCCGTCCTTTTTGTTAGTTGTCTTCGCGCATGTTGTACTCAGGGATTGAGTGTGGTGGTGTCATCATGTGTAGCGTTCTCGATGTTGAGTGCAGTGTGGTGTGTTTCATTAGGGTGTGCCAGTTTTATCCGAGTAGAGTGGTGTGTATATGTTGAGGTGGCTTATCTCATTTAAACAAGCTTAGTAATAATGTTATCAATATTATGACTCCGAATATTGAATAATTTATTTTTATTAAATTCTACATTTGTATTTGCAATTAAAAAAATTGTCTGTTAAATATTATTATTTTTGAATCACCGTGGTGTTCAGTAAGATTATGTCTCTCCAATTGCCGCATTTACGCTGGTCACTCTATTTTGGGGCGGCTTCACAATGATACCCTTTAACCATGATGGAGGTATTCTTTGGGTATGCCAAACCACAGGTATATGGTTTTGCAGGACTTCAGTTAAAATTTGTCGGCCATTAATTAATGACAAGCTGAACAATATTATCTTACCTTTGGTGGGGGATTAAAATTGATAGACACCGTCATCTAGTGAGGACCATTTCATTTTAATTTTATTTTACTATTTTCAGCGCTTATATACTACATATTTTAAGACCTGTTTTATCTAGCTAAATGTGTGTATATGTACATTGTATTGTCATGCATATGCATGTGTGTATATCTTGCATAGATAATATTAGGTATGCTTTGTATTGTTAAGTGTTAAATACAATGTGTATTGTATGCATATGTTTCTTTTGTGTTTGTTTATGTTTATATGTCAAGGATATTTGAACATATTGCCGAGGACAAAGTTATTAATTGAAATGAGTGGACTGTATGATCGTTAGGATCGTCATATTTTGCTGTTATACTTTCATTGACGCTCCGTATCTTCATACTGTGGTTTCCACTGCAAATCAATGTTTATGTGTTCGCATAAAATTTTTTGGGTCAATGGCCACGGTCGGATCTATTTTCATCAATTTATCAGCTATTGTTTATTTATTGTCAACTTTAAAAAGGGCTCTTTAGATCTTCTTTTAATCGTTTATTTCCACCAATGATCATTGTAATAGCTATTTGAATTAGCAAAAGCATGTAAGTTACCACCGTTATAGCCCTGCTTCTACACGTTTTCCTCTTTTCTTACTGGAAACTTTTCTCTTTTTCTTCCAAATAATAAATGATTGATTTAACACCAGCCTCCCAAAATCCTTCAAAGTGAGGACTTGTCGGGGGAATAAAATGTTACTTTATGCCATCTCTTGTTATAATTGGTGCAATCGCTCATTTCAAATCTTTGTCCAAAAATGTAGCTGCTTCAACAAAGTTTGTGCCTTTTTTATTTATAGAGGTGCTGGCATTAGCCCCCTCTTTCGTTTTGTCTGCTATTCTTATAATATCTGCCTCTTTATTTGTTTCCTTCTTGTTATATGTATATCCAAGATTCTCTTAGTACTTCTACTTAGTTATTTTGGTTGGAGCTATTTCTTTCGGCAATGCCCTGTATTAACCTGGACCTATGATCGACCTTGTCTCCATAATTTATGTTGTATTAGTTTTTCAGGTGATGTTCCCCTTGATGTTACGTCTGCTTCCGGAGTTATCTCATTGATGTTGTTTACCCTGCTGCGTACAAACTTTTCTTTGTTGTTATAGAATGAACAGGGAATATTAAGTTTGCCACAAAGTTTGTAACACCCTGAAGGAAACGGAGACATTATAAAATATATACATAAATGATCAGCACGATGAGCTGAGTTGATTTAGCCATGTCGTCTGTCCGTCTGTCTGTATATATACAAACTAGTCCCTCAGTTTTTATGCCATCGATCTGAATCTTTGCACCTGTCCTTTTCTAACAAAGACGCTGCTCATTTGTAGGAACGGCCGAAATTTGGCATGTATTATTATTTGAGGCAACAATGTAATCTTCGAATAAATTATTTAGATCGGATGACTATAGCATATAGCTGCCATACAAACTGAACAATCGGAATGAAGTGCTTGTATGGAAAACTCTTTCATTTGACGAGGTATCTTCACGAAATTTGGCGTGTATTA